CGTAGATATATATGCATACATCATACAGATATATACGTAAGTGGGTTCTCAAGGCGCTCCGGATTACATTCCGGGGACTCGCAATCGCGGGGTTTCTTGCGTGTTCATTATCGAAATTGGTAAAAACATCTCCGATATCGGCGACTTTACCATTTATTTATTTCCTCGCGTAATGAAAAAAAAATAATAGGTTTGTTCTTTTTAGGTGAACTTCTTGCACGGTTCATCTTTTCTCTTTTTCTTTTCACGTTAGAGAAAAAAAGAGAAAAGATGAACTGTATAATAAGTTAATTCAATTAAAAAGAACAGGCCAAATATACTAACAGCGTCAGTCTAATTCGAATTAATCCTGTTGACTGAGTAAAAAAAAGATTACATGATAGGCCGCTCGCAATCACTCGCAATACGAATAATAGCAATGTAAATGAATAGTGTGATGAGAGGAAAAGGGAGGAGAAAAAAAAGGAGGAAAAAATGCAATCGGCGAGCGTGGGCCTTCGTCGAGCACTGCTAAGATTTTTAACTTTTACAAGGAGACTCGAGTATGAGAGAGAGAGAGAGAGAGTGTGTGTTGTGTGTGTGTGTGTGTGCGCGCGCGCACGCGCGTGTGTGCGTGTATATGCAATTGGTATTTAGTACAATTTTCTGAACCTGCGAGGCCGGCGGGAGATGCATAATGTGTATGTTTCAATGATCACATTTTTCGACATATATTATTATTATTATTATTATTATTATTATTATTATTATTATTATTATTATTGGAATAATAAAAGATTAGTACCGGATCGACGCAGTCGACTTTATTACTATACATCCAGTTTTCGTAGACGTTCCCTCTCCATCGTACCCGAGAGGGTAAAGAAAAGAGAAAGACAATTACCAACGTATGTGTCTCTGACTTTACTGATTTATTATTATAAACAATAAGGTACAATAATACATTATAGTACTATTACATTACTGCGCAGTTAGTTAGAGACGATAGAAATCAATTATGTATGTATATGTATATAAAATTTATATATAAATGACAAATTTTATTTATATATAAATTATATAAATACTAATATACAAGAAGGATGATCGTACAATTTTATTCGATATGCACTTTGGGATAAAGATATAGAAGATTACGATACGTTAAATCGGGCGAAACAACTTCGTCTGTAAACTCGAGACTATCTCCTTAACCGGTCGATTCTTTTCATCCGGATATGGAACTAATCTTCTAAGGTCGGGATCAAGACATCTCGGTAGTTCTTTGGGTCTGGGACTGAGATCCAATTTCAAATCCCTGGTAAGCATTTTAATCGTTTCAAGTTGGAACCAGGTCTTCGTAGTTCAACCAAAAACTTATAAAGATCTTCATCGCGAAGTCGTTCGCTTTCCTGCTTGAAGAAACTCGAGACTGTTAAAGTAATGGGCCTATAAGAACATCAAGATGTTAGTTAAGCCTTTTGATAGAAAAATGGAGCATTATACAAACCTAAAGCTATCGAGGCAATTGGTAAAATCGTCCGGCGACCAACTACGTCTTTTATCCAAACTCGGTCTTTCTAGCAAACCACGTCGCGTCGGCGGTTCCACTTTTTTTCGCCACTGTTCCAGACCGCCCGACTTTCTGTCTAAAGATCCAGCAGTGCTATCCGTATCACCACCGCATCCGATTACACCAGACAGATAAATTGCAGTCCACGCAAGAGGCATTCTATAACGACCCAGGCATTCGCACGCAGCAGCTGCGGCAGCTCTGACCTATACGGAAATGAATAAGACAATAATATGAGAAATTGCCATTTTGAATGCATCAATATTTTATTTTAACATTTTATTACCTTATCTTTATTTTTATCTTCGCGTAAATATGGTTCGGGACACTCCGATATATCGCCCTGCAATACTTTCTCGAGCCGTACGACAAGAAACAAATCGGGACTGGGTTTATTGATGCTCAAAATGCACCTTCTAGTTAAGGTACTTACATCGCTATAAGCGATGTGTCGTCCAAGCATTCTTTTCAATCCCTTTGAATTCATATCGACGTAGAAATTTTCGGACACCTGAAATATAACAATTTGTAATTAGCATTATGCATTCTTGAAATTGTAATTTCAATGATAAAAAATATCATACCTTTTTCTTTTCTCTGGCATCGTATAATGCGAGACTCGCGAATATTTGGCTCCACTTCTAGTTGTAACTTTAATTGCAGACATTTTACGAGAATTTTATGAGCAAACTGTAGATTAGGTTGTTGATTTCTTGCCAGTCTTGCCACTCGTCGTCAGCTGAGAAGTATGTGCCCTTTATTGCACTATGGTGCAGACATTAAAACGAAATATTGACCTTTAATTAATTTTTATTAAAATACAGTTGTTTTCCAAATAATAAAAATTATATGGACACATTATCCAAATGATTCTGGAGCGATTGGATTAAAAAAAAATATTTTTTAAATACTTTCTGCTAATTATACGCTTAATTGATTTTAATTAATTGTGATTAATGTATGGTTTTCCAAACTCTGAAAAGTTTTTTCCAAATATCTCCAAATGATTTCCAAACGATTGGGTTAGTTAATTTTCAATAATTTTTAATTTATTTGCTAAATATACGTCGGTC